CGTCCCTGTATTCCTCCCAAGTGGCCTGTCCCCTTTTCCACATTCTGTAGACTTCCTTCTTCTTTTGGAGTTTTGGCAGGGGTTCCTTGCTCATCCACGCAGGTCTCCTGCCCGCTTTGCTCGACTTCTGACTCAGAGGGATGCACCCGTCTTGAGCCTGGAGGAAGTCATACTTGAATATTAACCAGCTCTCCTGGACCCCCCTTCTCTCTAGGGCCCTACCCCATGAGATTCCCCTAAGTAGGTCCCTGAAGAGGCCAAAGTTAGCTCTCCTCAATTCCAGGGTTGCGATCCTACTTATTGCCCTGCTCCCTCCTCGTAGGATCCTCAACTCCGCCATCTCATGGTCACTGCAGCCAAGGTTGCCCCACCCTTCACATCTCCAACTAGACCTTCTTTGTTTGTTAGTACAAGGTCTAGCAGCGCACCTCTCCTCGTTGGCGTCTCCACCACCTGTGTAAAGAAATTATCATCAATGCTCTGCAGGAACCTCTTTGACTGTTTGTGTCTAGCTGTGCTTTTAAAAAGCTGTTAGCTTTTAAAATTTTACTCATCTGCCTTCAGACTTTCTACTCATCTCTGGTTTAAAAAAGGGCATGTTTAGACATGGGTCTGAACAAAGTTCCAGGATAGACCTCTAATCCCCCCAAATTTTTTTTTAAATTAAAAATGCTTTGTTATTGGGCTGCAGTCCACTGCTACGGGCTTGGATCCCACACCATTAAAGTCAGAGGAGTTTATTTTATATTATCCCCAGTGAGAGCAAGGTCAAGCCTATGACAATCAAAAGATATCACGCAAAAATAAATACAGAGCTGCCCAGCATAGTAATTTATTTTTGCTGCAAAATCAAGCCAACAAATCAATGTGCAATGACTATGTTGTAAGATAGCACAACTTCAGATAGAGACTGCCATTATAATTACGGGTATTAACATTAACTAACATTATGATTAATTAGCATTACAGGAACACACAGATGAGATCTCAAAGGATCCGCAGTAAAATTACAGTGAAGCTTGTTCTGTGTGTGGTGGGTCCTTTTCATACCACCTCCCAAAGAGCGTCACACTCAAAACTGGCCTAGATGTATGAGTCTGGCTTATCAGACGTCCATCGGTTAGCACCTAATTATGGAAAAGTAAAATAAACAGGAACAAAGCAGTATTAAACATCAACAAAGCAGTATTATTGCATGACAGATAAAAAATAATATTTTCACTAATGTAGACCTAGTTAAGAATTGTCTTGAAAAAGACAAAGCAAAGCACAGCTGAGTCTCTTACTCACACAGGGACCATAATGTCTGAGAAAAATTAGACTTTTCTCTCATGAGCAACATCTTGTTCTAGATTTCTGGGGAAGTAGGTACTGATCTGGGATTTTGCCTTTAGTCCATAGGTGCTCCAATCATTTGGACAGAGGCAAAAGGAATGAGAGAAATGGACTGACTATACTAGCCTACTCAGATGTGGTGAACAATGCTCTAGGAATGCAATCAGGAAAACTAAACAGAAAAAAAGCTACCTTGAACTAAAGCCAATTACTGAAATGGAGGACATTGATAATTTCCAAGTTGCTGCTGTGTCTTGCAGCAGTTTTTGGCCATTTGTGTTGCAAGTCTGACAGTCTGCAAGGGTATGATGTTACCTCAAATTCCCCAGGGGCCAGCTGAACCCCGCTGTACAGGACTTCTGGAAAGACGTAGTGAGTGCCAAATGTGCCACTCAGGGAGAACATGTCAAACTTGGTCTGAGCAGTCTCCACGGGCTGCCCACAGCTTTTCAGGTCTGTGCTTTTACACTTCAGCAGCGTGCATATCTGTGGGGGAGAGGATACAGAAAAGCAACTTACTTCTCAGCTTTAAACAATCACGAGCTGGGTTTGATAGAAAGAAAAGCTCTCATGATGAAGGAATGATCCAATATATCTACTCCTTTATTTAGACTAAGGGGATCTGTGGATACTTCGCATTTGAAACTTTGTAATAAGATAGTTCTTCACCAGCATCACAGTAAATCACTGTGTCTGTGTGTACCCGTGTATTTATGTGTGCATACCTGCATAATGCATTTGCATTTAGTCAGAGATGTTGAACAGTTTGTGACCTGGGTAAGTTACTTCAGCTTTCTCTGTTTCCTAAATAAAATTAAGTCATATATATTAGCCTACTCTACTGGGAATACTGTGAAGATATAAGGAGAAGATAATAAAGATGTAGAACATTAGAAAAAGCATCATATAGAAATTTAAACAATGAATACATGTGAATACAAAGGTTATACCCATATAATTTCTTCATTTTATTGAATAACTACAAGTTAGAGCATCTGATTAGCACAGTGATAATATCCGTAGCAGCAACTAGCTCTCTGTTGTGACAAGAGCATCCCTTTTGAGACAGCACAGACTCTAGAGATCTCTCCTCTTTTGTATGCAAACATGGAAATCTTCTTAAAGTGTTATAGCATAGGATCAACTCAAGGTCTTGATTTTCATAATTTGTATCACAGATGGAAAAGTAGGAGGAATATCCTTGATAAAGTCAAAATGACTCATGAAGAAAATATAAATGTTTTGTGGGGGGGGCCCAAAAATGTATTCTCATAAACTGCCACAGTCAAAAATTGGACAAACGCAAAAGAGGTGAAATGAGAATATCACAGCCCTCCCTTTGTCCAAATAAGAACAGAAAAACTTTACCTGCAAATAATACTCTCCTTCCACAATATGTAGCCCATCAAAAGCACCTAGAACATAAATGTCTTCTTTTTGTTTCTCTGCCATCTTGTAACTCAAATGGCAACAGAGGTCCTTCTGGCAAATGGTAAGATTTTCCTCAGGCTCAGTGAGTTCAGTGAAGGAAAAGAGATCATGGTAAACAATTCCACTGAAATGGTGGTTATTTGATGGAAGCTGTTTGATGCTGCTGGCATACAATTTCCAGTTCACAGCAGCAGGATAAGAGGGAGACAGACGTGGGCGTGAACTCAGTTCTGTCACCAAGAGGTGACCATTTTCTGTTTCTGTATTATAATGATATGCTCTCGGACCATCTGGGGCATAAATACCACTCCCTGCAAATACATAAAAGCAGAAAACTCTCAATATGAAAGCAAGTGTGTGGTGAGTAAGTAGTCTTTACTAATTAAACATGCATCAAATTTTCTTCTAATGTTGACCAGACTCTTTCATAACTAAATTAAACCTGCACATACTACAATCCTAATCTAATGCTTTTTGCAGTCACTGTAAAGTAGACCAAACTCTGATATATTGTGGCAAGATTAGTGCACCAATTCTATGCTGTTACACATGATTTAAGTGACTGAAGCTCATTTCTCATTGAGTTAAATTCCTTGTCTCTCTGACAACAATATTTCTGATTAGAGTGAATGGTAACTCTGTCATGTCCAAAAAATTCTTTAAGGAAAAACAGGTTACCCAAAGTCATATTTATGCGAAAGCTGTTCACATAAATACATTCTTAAAGCCCAGAGGAAAACCCATCCGCAAAAAATACGGGTTGTATGTAAGGTTTTCAATGAGTCAGAACAACAGGAATGGGCCAAATTTACTTTCATTTGGAAGGCAAAGTTTAGGAATACTTTTTAGCCACATCAGTGAGCTTCTCTCATTTCTGTAAGCATATGTCCATTAAACTCATGCATGAATTCTAGCATTTTTTCAGAAAAATATACAGCAAAAACAGAGCCTACAGAGAAAGCTTTACACAAGCTCTCCATTCCAGAAGCAGTATTTGCAAGAAGACTCGTGGAGAATATTTCTCAGCGCTAGGTTTCCACCTAGTGGAGAAAAAAAATATCGGCCTTCAGATCAACAAAGGATTGATAAACATCAAGATAGGAGTTAGAAGATAATGGATCACATGCATTACATCTCACGACTACTCATTTAACAAATAAGTAAAGGTGTCCTAATTAATCAAAACATATCTGAGTTCTAATACACACCACATTTTTATTTCCTTCCCAATCCTGTTGACATGTGTATGTGCGCTTAAAGTTTACGGATATTTCTGCTCAGGTCAGCAGGACTACGTAGATAAAAATATTACCCATGCGAAGAAGATCAAATAGACCAATGTCACCTTACCCGTCATATCTAAACTGGAGTTGCGTGTGTTCGCTGAAAGAAAGTTGACACCCATTCCCATAGCCCACGCTGAGTGGAACTGGACAGCTGACAAAAGCGGGAGAGTATTACCCCACGCTGTTGGGAACAGTATGGTGTCAACTTGAAATCTGCTTGTCAAGACCACAGCAGGCTCGTGAAAGAGTATGTCTGCACAAGTGAAAATGCCGAAGTATCCAAAGGATGTATTGAAAGTCACGAATTCTGGCTCCTTGGGATAATTAAACTGTTTCTCTGTCACAAAAAGGTTGTACTGTTTGTGGAAAGGAAGGAAAGGAAAAAAAAAAGAGGGTTAGGAAAGAAATGAAACTGCTTACATCACGCTATAATAGTCAATATAGTACTGATATTCACTTAAACGCAAGCAATGGCACATAAGTTTTTGTGAACTTGCTATACGTTCATTTTGTAAAGGAAAATTCATACCACGCAACAGAAGTCAAGCACAAATATCTATGGATCTGACATATCAGTGAAGGGGATTTGCATTTAGTTATCAATAGTTTATGATATTAGAGTTTTCCCATCTCATGTGTCATTTCCTATTGAGAAGCAGGAAAAATACAGGGTTTTCTGAGTTTCAGTTAATTTCATGCAATTACTTGCTGTTTCAGAATAGCTGGAATAAAGCTCCCTCAAGGCAAGGACTTTTACCTGCTCTCTGACATCTGCTAAATAATGACTATAGAAACACGTTTAAGCCTAGGAAGTTGCTTTTGTTTCACATTTCTACTCTCCTGAGGATCATGCACTTTGTAAAATTGTCTTACTTTGTGATAACGAGCCACCAATTTCCCTTCTGAATCAAAGACAACGTTGGTATTGTATTGATAGCGACCGTCACTTGGGCATCTTGGATCACTGGAATCACAAGGCTTCTTGTCTCCCATATTTGCAACCACATAGATAGAGTTATTCCTTGCTAGACAGCTCAGTCTCTTCTGCACTGGTGAAGGGGTAAATCTAATCAGCAAAGAAGAAAGGAAAAACAGTTGTTCAGTATAAATGACAAAACTAAGACTTTAGATCGTAAGAATGACAGGTTTAGATTAGTCATTTCTAAGACAAGATAGTAGTTTTCTGTTAACCAAAAGAAGGAAATAATAGATTAATGATGAACCTGTAGAGGTGTGTGAATAGAAAAAGGCTGGTTGTACCAACAGTGACCATCACTTGGGCATTTTGGGTCACTGGAATTATGTTACAGAACAACTATCTGAAGCTTTTGGCTTCCAACTAAGAGACCACAGAGTTTTGGGGGCATGGGTGAAATAGTGGCTTCAGAAAAAACAATGATGAATGTTGCCATCATCTTCCATGGAGCCTGAGGTTCAATCCTGTATCTCTTCAGAGCCTGATGGGGTGGATACCAAAGACATTGCTTAAACCACCTGGACGATTACACGCTGTTGCCGTGAGACTTTTATAAATCCTTTTGACAGTGGTTTTGAACTTCAAAGCTTAGAATGCTTCACCTCACATCAAATACCAGGGGAACACAGGGAGTTCCTCACGGTAAAAGTAAATCTTGGCACCTTCAGATCTCCTTTCTGTTGCCATTGTCAGGCAGAACCTCAATGATATATTGATATATGGGCTAATTCAACATTCTGCTTCAGTTCCGGATTCAGCAGCCAGTTTAAGGTAGTTTAGGATTTCTTTCTTCTACACTGTGTTTAGTTATCTTTACCTAAACGTTGCAGACTCGAAGAATGGTGAGATTTATTAAGAAAAAAAAAAAAAACTTAAGCTTCCTTTATTTTATAATACTGGCACATTGACAAAATAGGACCGAACAATATCATGCTTTAATTTGATGGAAATAAAATACGTTTACAGGACAAAAAGGCCACCATGTCATGCTTCTTGTTCATTTAGGGTCCAGATTAAAAAATATAAATCCAAAATTGTGCAGTATACACTTTGAATAACAGCTGCTATTATATTCAGAAATATTCCTGTATCTTAAGTGTCCTACCACATGCATGGAATACATTACAGAAATGTAGATTCTGTATATTTAATATTTTTGTTTTAAATAAATCTTGACCTTTATGAGTATACTAACTAAAAACAAAAGGACTACAATGAGAAAAAACTATAAAGAAAAAATGATGAATGAAGTTGTTTGAAGCAATTTATGGCAAGTAGATGGTATCTAACCTGTCTTCATCTCACATTTAAAACTATCCACAACCACTGCTAAATGGAATGATCGCCTTCCCATCAGCCCACTCCTCCTTCCATAGCAGAGACAATACCTTTCAGGATCAGTACATGGAATCCAGTCCACCTCTGGGTCTGGGATATCCTCAAGATAAGGGTATATTGTTTCCCTTGTGAAGACCCAGCCATAAATGCCATCCTCAGGAGTCACAATGATATGGGCACCCTAATATAAACATATCAAAAAAAGGGAAGGCATTTATTTTCCCCTATAAATAACCAGTGTTTACCAAACTACATGTCTGTAACTAGGCCATAATACCTGTTTGGCTGCTGCTTTGATGGCTGCTTCCAAAATATCCATGTTTTTGTCCATTAGCACGAAGGCATCCTCAGGAGAAACAGGTATTTCAGTGTCCTCTGACAAGATGACATTGTGCTCATAGACGGCTGCAATGTAGCTGTCCAGGGCACAGGCCTCAAGAACAGACAGGATAAAAACCGCAGCAGAGGCATGACCTTTACAAAGACCCATATCTGAAGCCTGGAAGTCACTCCAAATGAGGACGGGGCAAGCAAAGACAGGTGATTTTATTAAGAAAAGTCTTGCATGAAATTGGGAATTCCCCAGTGCCAGAAAGCCGACACCAAGTGATGCAATCGCCATGTCCGGAAAGTCTCGGGGCATCAAGGGGCAGGAGAGCTGCAAACATTGAGCAATTCTGCGTTACAGCACAGGCAGAGCAGTCACCACTGGGTGCAGCTGAGGAAACGCGTCCCCTGCCAGATTTAAGAACGATACAGGCATGGATACAGGACCAAAGCAACACAGGAATTGCTACAGTGAAGTGAATTGAAGGCAAGCCCAGGTCACAGCAGGAAAACGAGCCAGAGGAGTTTTGAGAAATCTCAGCAAAATCCAGTGCAGACACTTTCCTGGCCAAACTCATGCAGGCAGGGCAGCTAGAGGCAGGGTGGCAGGTAGCTGGCCTCAAGCTCTGAGTCACTGCCGGCCACATCCAAGCTCGCTCAGCACAGAGCCAGCTCAGGGCTATGGGGTTTCGGGAACAATTGCTCAGATTTAGGTGAGAGTAGTCTGGCTATACCATGCACAGTCCCTGCTCATGCACAGGTGCACAGGTTGTACAACTGCTTTGGTAGAACAAACTGGGTATTTAAATATGCCACTGCATGACACAGTCACAGCATTAGCAGGTGGAGTGTTCAAAGGCAATACAAAAACAAATGCCAAAGTTTCACAGAGGAGGTCCCACAGCTCTACCATGTCAACCTCTAAGTGTGGTTCCAGGACCAACAGATGATCACGGCAGAACATGCTCATGAGCCATTTTGAACAATAAACCTGGAAACCAGGATTCCTCTTTAGGTTTGTTTCACCTTCTTTCAACTCCACTGTGTATGTGAAAGGATGAAGAAGGGAAAAGAAATGTATTGCCATAAAGCTACACAGGTTTAGTTAAGCCTGTCTGGTTTCTACTGGAGTTTGCCCAACTTTGAGTTTCAGGACTGAACACAAATTTCATAGAAAGTAGTGATCCTTCTGATAATCTCTGCTGCCTCAAGTCCTCACAGCACAAATCAGGTAGGTAAACAAGTCATCAGCACTTTTGCATCCCATGCCCCTTCACCTTGCAGCTACCTCTGATTCTCACAGCTCTTTATCTGCCTTACCACCAGAAGGGAGAGGATTGGTACTTTTATGATAGGATGAGTCTTACACTCCGCAATACAAAAAGGAAAGGGAGCTATTGCTAGGATATTCTCAGAAGACACCTTCCTTTTGCTACCCTGAGCCTTCACAGTTCAGCTGGGTATCAGAGCAGCTTACCTCACTAGCGTCTCAAGAATTCTGCCTCTGCCAGAGCCTTAAACTTTTAAGTATTTCTCATGCAAATGCTACTAGCTATTCACAACAAAAGAAATTGACTGAAAATTGATAGAACTAGAAATTAAGCCATTTGTTTTGTATTTGGAAAAATGGCTGCTGTAGAAAATCCCTTTTAAGACACAGTTGCAGGTTCAAGAAAAAGAAATAAGACTTGTGCCACATGTAAAGACTTGAAGACGACTGCCAGCTCCCCAGCCATGTCCTTATTTCAGATCACCTTGCCTTTTTTGCTGGGCATCCAGAGGGGAAGAGCTTTTTTGTCAGTGGTGGGGGTGCTTTTATTTTTATCTTCCTTTGGTTTGATCGTTTCTGTGCCTAAATGTTGGAAGATTACTATGAAGCCCTAGACTTTTGAGAGACTTGCTGTTGCAGGGGCAATTAGTGCAAACATTCCATCTGGCATTTATTAGCAATATGGACCTCTCACAGACCAAGTTGAACCTTCATATATAATACAAATATATATCTGTACATACATACACACACATACAAATGTCAAAAGTCTTCTATGACTGAGGATGAGTCCTGCATGTAGATGCAGTCTTCTCTTCATTACCTTTGCCTACCATTTTCACATAACGCAGGTACTGCTAGACACAGTCTTACAGGCTTTCCTTGTCTAAGAAAGTTCACAGAATTTCAGAAAAAAGTTGCTTTATTGTAAACAATATTGTGCTTAATGCTTTGCCTTTTCAAATTCCATTTCAACATTTTATGTTATCAGTTGAAGTATTACAGGATCCTTTAAAAAAAGGATACAGAAAATCATGGTAGGAAAACCAGTAGTTTTATCTGAGAATAACCCACAGCAGACTCAAGTGTAGAAGTTAAGACATTTGAAAATACACCTCTTCACATACAGTGGTGCACTGCATGCATATGGTGCACTGCATATGGAACACGATCAAACAGGCTGACATCTGAAGGTAACTTATCAGTTCAGTCAATCCACATGAGGACTTCCAAAAAGAAAGGTAGTCAGTGTTTAGTGTTTCAAAACAGAGATGCAGCTACAAGTAAATGACAACTGATTGTTCACTAGTGGATCACGTATCCCATCTCGAGATTAATGCAACATTTCTAAGTCCACTCATCTCAAGACTGAGTTAAACTGCAATAGTTTTAAAGAGAGAATCCAAAAGTATGTCCGGCTATGTTTCACTACCCAACAGATGAGTTCTTTCTTCATTACTGCCAGAAAGGTTTTGCAGGCTGGAACTGGAACTATTTGCAGAGGGAAAATAAAAGGAGGGGGAAGAATCAGTTTTAATATTCTTTAGCTATTTCTATGTAACACTAACATGATAGCATAAAAGCCAGATGCAACACGGGAAAAGCTGCCTGGATCACTGAATGTGGTTCCCTACTATCGCACACACATGCAAGCACATACATGCAAGCAATAGCTTTCAAATCTGTCATTCCTACTGACATAAAACAGCTCACAGACATCCTCTTGGAGGAACCATCAATAGCATTTGCTCTCTAACGTAAGCAAGCCCAGCTGCTTGCCCTGCACAGCAGAACCAGCACCGGATAGAGAACAGGCATTACTTGGTTTAAGTCTCTGTTTAGCTCAGTGGGGATTTAGTAAAGCATACAAAGAAAGAATTTAAGCAATATTTTTACTGCTCATTTTGTCATTACCATGCTGGTAGTAAGGAAAAAATGAAAGCACATCTTTCACAAATTTGTTTTATAAGGCTTTTAAGTAAAAGAAAGAATAAATATCTCAGCATACCTCCTCCTTGTGGCCTCAATGATATAGAATATTCCAATTGCGAGTCCCTTTGAGGAAAAAGTCAATTACAATCCTAATAATAATAATGACCTAATGCAATAACTTATAATTCCAATCGATATAACAAGCAAAAATTTGTGATTACTTACACTTAACAGCGACCATCCCCCTTGGATGGCTGAGGCCCATTCAAAACCCAGCTTCTCATATAGAAAACCTCCTAGAGTGGGACCTACAAATGCACTGCACCAAATCAAAATAAGGTGTTGGCATCCCAAAGAAAAAATAACAGATCATATTATCAGCAGGTTGTACTTTGTGGCCTCCTTCCATTGGTTTGTTCTTTGTCAACAGACAGTCTTCCACAGACCTACCTTTTCTATAATCCACAATAAATATCAATTCTTTGTTTGCCCAGCCCCAATAAACCTGTCAGGACTGCTTAGAGGTACCATTAAGGACAGTGCTTTAACAGGATATCTACACAGATTCACCTCTGCCACAAAAAGAAATTTAAACCCTCATCCCTCCAAATTTAAACCTTCCAAACTTCAAGACAAAAGACTGATGGGTACAGGCAGGTGGCAAGGATACTGTGGCAGATTTCATCACTGCAGTCACTACCAGGCTGAGGTGTACATAACCTCCTTGCACCTCCACACCTCTGTAAAAATGTCCTCAAAGTTATGCAGCTGTTGTCACCTTATGAAAGGGATACATGACACGGTCACCTGCTAAAGCAGGGGACAAAATGCTATAAGACCAGGGGAACATCCTGGGATCAAGTCATATAACAAAAAACATATTTGGTAACAGCAGAAAACTGCATTTTGGTAGGTTTGTACTACATGTACCTGCACTAAATCCTAGACCAGATAAACAGGACAGCTAGTTCTTCAGTTATTTTTCAAAATAGTGCAAATTTGTACCATTAAAACCCACTAGAAGTCACAGAGGACTACAAGGACTGATAAATATTACTGGAAGTGTCTGTCAATAGTAGATCTGTGTCTGTCCCCACTAAGTGACAACTCTGAACGGAGTTGCTGGTAGCATCTCTCACCCACTTCTGTTATAACCACTGGGTAAGACGTTCAGATGTGCTCTGCTAAGCTATGCAAACACAGAACTTGAATAATGGCTGAGGCTCTAAGAGAACAGAAAATTATGTCCTAAGCTATGCAGGACAAAAGAAGCTAAACGTGGAAACAGAGAGGGAGAAAAGAACCAAGTCAGAAGCAGATGCTGCCTACCTCATTCTATGTAGGAGGACTTAGCTCTGTAAAGCATCTGCTAAGTTAAACATGTCTAAATATTAAACATTAAAGGTTTCAGTGCTAATAAAAGTGACCACACAGAAGTGCAAACTAACATCCGCTTAATCAGAGCGGCTTTTTGATATGAAGGGCAATACATTTCAAGGAAGATGAGTCAGAGCCCATTCCCTTTGTTGAGCAACAAGTTATGTTTTAACATGTCTACCCTGACACCTATTTAGTAAGACCCTTTTGAACCAAGGTCCAAACAATGCCTGCAGTGAAAGATTTTTAGTCATGACATGGCAGGCTTTCATGTGACAATAGCGTAGAACAATCAAACACTAACAGTTTATCCAAAGGTGACTGTATACCTACCCAAGAGACCACATGGCACTGAGGAGCCCAGACACCAGTCCCAACAGACTCAGACCTTCTTCAAATCCATTATCACTATGGAAAGACAGACCAGTTAGACTAGGTGTAATACAGCATTGTGTCTCAATCTATAGTCTTCCTCTATAGGGATAGTTTTTTTTCCCCCTCTCCTTTTAACTTGTCACTTAAGCAGTGACAAACAAGAGTGCACAGCAGTCATGTCTGTTTATCACAGCATCACTCATTCCCCATATGTCAAGCGTAACACATGACAGATAAAACAAGATCTTTCATTCTTAAAATCTAAGAGGAACATACTTTAATACAAGAGTAAACAAAGCCCATCTTAGATCGTTACTGCCAAGCCATATCACAGACCTTGTACTATGAGCAAGAATGACTCATGCAGGTGCAGTTGTTAATGCCAATGCACCCTGAAAATCCAGTGAAAACTGCTGGATATTAATCTGCTGAAGAAGCTGAAATAAATCCCTACAGGAAACAGCACCAAGGTTGCCCCTACTATGAGAACCAAAGTGAGCTGAACTTCAGAGCACTTAACAGCACACAGATACACACTTTTGAAACTGTATTTGGGAACATAACTACAGTGTCTTATTGAGCTGGTCAATCAAAAAAATTAGGACAAAAAGCAACGTAAGCTTTTAAGTATTATGTACTACCTTTGCCTCAAAAGGAGAAAAAAGCCACACCAAAATCCCACTTGACGTTCACTCCTGAAAATATGTTGTAACTTGAGCTCTCTACTATGAAAGGTAACATGAAAGACATATTGGACAAAATTACTTACTATGCACAGTGCAGTATCTCTGGAAATACTGGAATAGCGCTCATGCCAAGGGAAAAGCCAATCAAAACCAGCACTAGGACAAAAGTCCACAGCTGACTGCAAAAGAGGCACTTAGAAATAGTCAATTGTTTAAGAATCTTTTTCAAATCATCACACCATCTGACTGAACGTTGCTGCACTTCTCCATGACTGATGAGAAAACTAAGTTTCTTGAAGCCAAAATGAATTCTGTTTTAACTGAACAGTAGGACTGGAAAATAAGGCTCTCCACATAAAAAAATGTTTGTAAAAGAATTTTTGAAATCTTGCGCTTGAGTCAAATATATCCTTATCAAATGGAGTTCAACTTATGAGGAGCACGCGCAGAAGCAGTAGGCAAACGAGTTTAATTCAGCAACACGTATGTTCAAACTCCAGACTTGGTTTGTTGCATGAGTGAAGGATTTTGCAGGTGAAGTTTTTAGCCTAATGCATTATGCCTCAAAAGATGTTACTGAATGAGGATTTTACTGCTTTCTTTTTCCTCACCAGCTCAGTTAGAAATGCATTATCCTCTTTAAAAAGTGAGAGCCTAGGAGGAAAGGGCCGACTAATTCTACACATTAGCAAGTCTATCACCAGCTTTAACAGAGTATATAACCTAGAACAAAAGGATTATATAGCCGTTTTACAAACGTAGCAGAGTACATTTTGCTATGAATTAACACGGCAATGCAATGTTCAGGTAAGACTGACACAGTCTCCATTCAGCTAGCTGAAATCAAAGCTATATCCTGGCATTTTCTCCAGTAATCTACACAGGGAGAGAGAAAACTTTCTCCAAATAAAACCCATAGCAAATAAAACCCATAGCTGATAAACTTTTAAGAAACTGAGATTATAAAAATAAGAGAGAAAGACGACTTTGTTTTAATGCACTGGAAATGCCACAGAACTGGCAATGCCAAAGAAAATATGAAGCATCACTCTTCCCACCTGGCACATATTAACATGAGCATTAACAAGAACAAAAGGTAAAGAAAAAGGATCCATTTTAAGAAGCTGTTATTTCTCCTCTATTTTAGCCACACCTCAGTTTTCAGATGCTTCCACTGATGTACATTCATAGTCTCATGTCTGAAGCAAAAAAAACGCTGCTTTTTCATGGTCAGAGGTGCTAACAACAGATTTGTTGACATCTATGACTATGTCATTATAGTTGTGACCAAAAACATCACTTAAGGATATGGTTCAAGAAGAAGCAATCCTGTACCTCTCAATGTGCAGTACAGGAGCAGGTCCTAACATGAAAAAGCACACTGCTGTTATTAAGCCTCCAGAAACCAGCAGCCACTTCCTGAGGTACTGTGAAAGAGCAAAAGAAAAAGGTATGTAGTTTAAAGATATGAATTTGTAATGTAACAATTTCATCCTTCCCAATCCTTCTCTTCTAAATCTTCATCCTTTAAACAGTACTGCTCCTATAGAGACCATCATTACACACCAGCTAGGGATTCACAATTTCTCTGCCAGTTCTGAACACAGCAAGAAACACCGAATTCATTTTTCCCTGCCACAAATGCAATCGCTGGCAGGAGCTGCTTAATACAGAGATTTCTTCAGGACGCTGAGTAAGGAGTGATACTGTTCTGCTAGCAAAATGTTTTAGGTCTTACTCTTCCTTAAGATAAGAAAGACCATCTAGCATTGCATGTAATTCTAACATATGATCAAAGGTCATTATTAGTTCATGTCAGGAAAAAAAAAAAAAAGCTTCAGAAAATTGGCATTGCCATTCATGCAGATAACACAAAGTCTAGGTTGTTTTGTTTCTCTGATCACTCAAAAACGGCTGTCAACAAGGCAGTGTTAGATATATCTGTTCAACTTGATTCCTATGCTGCAGTTAAACAGAGCTAGAAAACCAGCTATGACAGGCTAGCTCTCCTGCCATTACCAATAGGTGTGCTGATACACATCTAATTCTGATAATACATTTTTTAAGAGATAGAAGTCAATACAGCAGGCCAGAATATCTTTATTCCTTTTCCCAAAAATTGATAAATTAGAGGAGAAAAAAAACCCAGCAATAACTGATGAGTTTTCTCACTTTCCATATTGGCTGGGAAGTGGACTATGTTTAGTCCACCAGAAAAGTTCAACATGTTTTAACTACAGGATACTTGTCCACTGTTTTTACAACATTGGACTTTCTTTTATTACCTGGACATTGCACAAGAGACCTGTAAGCTGAGAGGACTCAGTGCACGTGTAAGGGGCTGAAAGATAGATCCCTTTACAGTACTGGGCCCATGTCTATTTTTTCAATATCAGAAATTCTCCAGCATTAACTATGTATACAGAGTGCTTTATTAACGCTACACAAACAACAAGAGAGTACTCACTGGCAGCTTGTCGCTTAAGAGTCCAAGGAAAGGAGAAGAAAGGGAATACGAGAGTGCCAAACCTAGGAATACTAAGCCTACATAACCAGCTGGGAGTTTGAACTATGAAAAGAAAGAGGAAAAAAAAAAAAAAAGCTAAGAATGCATATGCTACATTTATTAAAGGAAAACTTAAGAATTGTATTTTAGGTCAAACTGCTGAAATCCATGCATGATTTTTAGTGTCGGGTTTTACTGTATCATACAGAGGTTTGTGAAATATTTGAAGTCATCAAAGCTCCAGCCTTCTTCCACTTTCACATCTTAGTGTGAAATGATAAGGTTTGACATGACTGAACATATATCAAGCCTAAATAATCTTACAGGTAACACTGATCTTTATCCCTAGGCCAGCACACTGGATTCTAACATCGATATCTGGCATATTTGAAAAAGACACTTCAGACACAAAAGTTTAGGTGGATTTAGTCTTTACGTCTCCAAACAGTTTTATTTTCATTTAGAAAAGTAGAAATACAGTAGTCATCCATTGCAAATCAGTGCATCTTTAAAGCAAGCAGTCCTGCAAAACACAGCTTGGGTTTTTCAGCTAGAGGATTTTCATGAGAATGAATAAGAGGCTTTTTGCAAACACCCTGAGGTCTACAGTTTCCTAATGTAAAGTCACTTTCCTATATTGAAGCAAAGCATGGAATGAATTGAAAGTGTACTAGCTTCTCACATGAGTGCTTTAACTACCACTTATAAGGTATTACAAGGTGTTTCATGTGGCATGGACTATATAAGTATTCATTATTTCCTTGCCATATACAATAACATGATAATAACTCTAATTTAGTGATTAAAACACTCATCAAGAGGGCTACAGTCCTTTTACAGCAAGTGTCTGCTAGCACAAAGCAGGCAGACAGCACAAGAGCCACATCGCTGCAGAATATTCTACAGGGGGACAGTTACAGATCCTGCCTGGATGGTCAAGACATACATTCACATCTCTAGTAAAGGAACAGGTTAGCTCCAAGTCTCTTCCATCCTGGATGAACACACTAAATGCTGGACTAGAGAGGAAAAAAATGTAACAGCAGTACTACAACCTGCAAAACTCTACTCCCTAGGGAAGCTATTAATAAACAAACCATTCAAAAAGCATTGCCTGACTTCAGGCTGTAACAGAACCATAGGACTGCTTACTTCAAATTCATTATCTTAAATCCTGTGGACAGTAGGGGAGGGGGAAGCGTTTGCCTTCTAATGCGTGAAAAAGTGAACCAGCAGGCTATGTCGTTGCAATACTTGCAAGCACTTTAATATTGCCATCGCTTTAAAAGAAAGAAAAGCAGTGACACCCTATCCCCCAAAATAAGTGTCTCCACCTACGGATACAACATTGTTAGTGACTGTTGCAGTTCCACAGAATTTGCTTTCATGAAGAAGGAAAAATCCCAGTTTACAAAACCAGCTGCTGTGCCTGTTCAGAGAAGGGACTCTGCAGTTGAAATTAACTGGGAAACATATATTTTAAAGGCCCTAGATTTCTTCATTTTCAGAGGTACTGAAACCCTGCAGCAACAGATGAAGTAAATGGGAACTGTGATTTGTCAGTACTGTGGAAATCAAATTATTAAAAGCAAATTAAAACTAGTGGATTTGCATAAGGTTTAACATTGTTTACAGTATTTAAACTAGATTTATAACCAGTTATCCACTATTTAGGAAGTCACTACTTTCTTGCACATTAAAACGACTTACCTTCTTTAGGATAAACAGAGACATTGTAGGATCCAAAAAGCCCAAGCATGCACTTAGAGAAAATATAGTAAGACAGAGAAGTAAGACTTCTGGCAGAAGAACGAGCTTCCAAAAGGAATCCTTGCTAGGGATCGAATCTGTCAAGAGAGAAGGGGAGAAAATTGCATTCTTTTGCACAGCATAAGCTTATGACTCATTTTCCTGTTTGCAAAACAAACAAAAAATCCAGTATTTTCCCTTTTATAGCCCTATTAAGCCTGTTATCTAACAAGCAAATGGAAGCCAATACTAAACTATTATGCAGTTATAACCTGACAATTATCATCTTGCATGAGGACTTATTTTTAAGCTACTGTTGTTCCAAACAGCACTATGTAAAATTTAGGAAAATTTACACCATTACAGTTAAAACCTCTGTTTATTAACTGTAACATTCATTCACATTAACCAAATCTTGCATTACACCATATAAATAACCCCCTTTGCTCTCCCTGTAATTTGGGGGGAGGGGGGGCTTCCAGCATTAACCCCTCAAACATGACAAGTTCTCTTGTTCCACGCAAAACATCTCCAGCCTTTCTTCAAGTAGCTACCATGACAAGCTGATACTAAGCAGATAAAACTGATCCTTTACAAGCCTTGAAGCTAAGGAGACACAATGAAATAAAAAAAATACCTCAGTTCATTTCTATATAGACAGCTTAATGTTTGCAGAAATGGACAACCAGAAATGGAGGCTGGATTCTTTCTAGGCCATCTGCATGCATTAACTTTAGTTAGCATTAAAAGATGGGCCTGATCAAGATCACAAATTAATTTAGCTGGAGCTTTGCCCTCTGAGCTGCATCAGACTCCAGAAGTTGCTGTTTTAATAAGGGACAGTTATATACATGAGAAACTAAGGTTTAGTGCAGTCATTTGTCTCAAGCTGACCAACCAAAGGAGGGAGGAATAAGGAAGCTTACCATATTTTGGCAACAGAAACATATTCACAGGCACCAAGACCAACATCAGACACCCCAGTGTAATGAAAGGGACCTCATAACCAAATGATTGATATAAAAAACCACCTAAAGGTGGGCCCAGCACCATTCCAAGCCCTGTAAAAATTTCAAGGCTGCCCTAAAGGATGAGAAAGAAAACAAAGTGGAAAAAGTAAGTCTGCTAAGAAATTCCAATATAACAATGAAAAGCTAACCACTTATCTGAGGAGAAATACAATGCAGTCAGGCTAAAAAAAGAGGGAATTCATCACTAAGGGGAATAACAGCCAGTACAGACCTTTACAAAGGGGGTTAGCAAAAGGAATTTTACAATTGTCTGGGTAACAGCTATTACCTCTCTCGCTTCATTACGGAGAACCACTTGTATTTGAATCCATTGCAGCGTTAGCCACTCGGCTGCCACCAGATGTGTCTAACTCCTGAGGCAAAACAACTGCTCTACTGATAGACAGCGTCTCCAGGACAACTCAGGCTGAAGTGATTATTTCTCCCACGTGCAGAGTTACACTACAGCCCGAGGGGGAGGACTCAGACAAGCCTACCTGGATAAATCATATCGTGTAGGATGAGTGAGATGTCTCAAGTTAAAGCTTTCCCTCCATAACCAACTGTTCAGATTTAGTGACTATGGGTAAGGAGTAACACTGAAATTGCACTGGGGAAAACTCAGCGTGGTTAAGTTACAGACAAAAAAAACTCTTGCTTCTTTTATCAGATCTTAATTTAAAAAAAAAAGGAGAGTAACACAATTGCATTCAAATCTCCTTGCATTACAACACCATGGTCAACACTGTCAATACCTGCCTAAACGTTTCCTTAATCAATGCACAGGCCAACCCTTGCAACAAGTAACAGCTGGTCAAAACAGTTACTTAAGTTTCGATAACTTCTGGGACTCACAAAGGCCAGAGTTTCATCTACATAAGGAAGTTGTTTAGCTTTAACTTGACTGATACAAGCGAGAGCAGACAAGTACCTCTGGAGTGGAGCACCCAAACTGCATTCAAATTATGCTTTACTTCTGTTGCTCTGAGATTAAAATATTTACATTTGAGGAGACTCCAATTTAAAATCAGGCTATGCATCATTCATTCCTACTGAATTAATGAATCCACTTCAGGGGAATAAGGCATTGGATCAGTACACATCAGGGTACACCTGATACTGTATGAAAAGTGATACCGCTTACGTTTTGCGGTTGTATACCTCCTCTGATAAAGAGACAACACTGACAGAAGCTAGACTTCCCACTTCAACAAGACTAACATGCCTACATTCAATAACTCCCCCACACATTCTCTAGGGCATCCAATGAGTAAAAAGTGAGCCGAAAGCTGGTACCAAAAGGGTAAGGAGAGGAAAAGTGCTTTTAGTTTCTGGCCATATCAAGAAAGGCAACAGAAAGCAAGGCTAAAATTCCTCATCCATTCCTTCTGGTTTATTTTACCCTAAGATGCATCTTGATTTAACAAGCCAGCTTTTCCTTCTGCCTACTGCTTCTGCAACCACCAAAAGGGCAGCTAAACATAATAGCAGGAGCTCTTTGTCACATCCATTCTGAAGGGATGAAGTTTAAGGACAGCAAGTCTACATGAATGACTTGGAAGAGGTTTTATTCTTATGCAGAACATGCCACACAGTATATAATACGGCAAACTAACATTTTGTAAGTTCTCAACATGTCTTCTGATAGTTAAGCAAAGGTATCTACCAAGCCACAGCTGTGTTATATCTGCAATTGTGTTCTTGAGGTGACTTACACCACCACTTACTGTTTTCAGCAACGCATCATTTTTATTGTGCTGCCATTAGTGTTTATGATCTTTTTCTTTCTTGAAGTCTGATGGTAAGATAGACAACTGTATACATCTTGTAACTCCAACTAGGCTCCTTTAAGTCTAGGTTACTTTATTTACCTATTTAAATTACATTTTAAAATTTGCAAACAGGAAACCTTAACATTATTGACTGAATTAATCCAAAGTATGACAACAATGTATTACCTGCTTTTCAAAGAAAATGCTAGTTCCTTATTGCTGATTGAATTTAGTAGTTTTTACTATCTAGTATTTGTATATACATTTACACAAGCAACTATATGGTCTAACAAGAATCTTAATAAAAGTATCAACTTTCTCAATTTTATTAAATATTCTGGAGGATGTTCTTAACATTTATTCACTAATTAAAGTTTAACCCAATTATTTGTGTCAGTCTATATTTGAATTGAAACCAGAATTAATGAAGAGACAGAAAAAGCAGTGTTTTATTAAATATATAGCTTTTTTTCCCCAAAATATAAAAGCTATTTAAATAAAGGTAATCTCTAATTGGACTGAATCATTGATGACCACAAACAGCGCTCTTCAGATTTCAAGAAGTTCTAGCTCTCCTCTTCTTTTATCAATATCTTATCACTTTTATCAATGGATTAAGCAAGAGGAACAAAACCAAGGTTGTTTCCAGTTTTGGATCTCTCATTCATTTAAATTAACACTATTTGAATGAATTATTCAAATGTGTTGAATAAACTGGAGCCAAGAATATGCCTATCATCCATGTGGAAGCAGTTATTAAAAGACGCATTATAATTTTAATAATCTGGTTTCAGGTGAGGAGATTACTACTACCACCATCAATTCAGTGAGCTGTCTTCAAAACGTAAGCAAGTAAAAACGTACTGCTTGATTATTTACACTCTATTTAAGTTATGCTAACGTGTAAACTTATTCATTCATAATCACAATTCTAGAACATTACATGACAATTTCAAATAAACCTGAATATGAGAGCGCAAATCTTATCCTACTGGTTCTAGGCTGCCTACAGGTAATTCACTGTGTTGTGGGTATTCAGCTATCATGTTGGTTTTTTGCACTTACCATGACAGTAGCTATGTTATTGGGGAATGCCTTTGCAAGGATTGAAAATGACGCCGTCATTGCTGCTGCAAAACCTACTGCATCCATTGCTCTTACTAAAAAGCACAAACTGATGAACACTGGTCCACTGGGCACCTTGTCCAGCATTCTGCAAAAGAGTAAGCTCTTAAGAGGAGACAAGTCATCTCCCAAAAGCTTCTGCAACACTACTACTTCTTAGTTAAAGGACACAGTTAAAAAGAGTCTCAATGCTATCTACTGCTACATCTTTTTGAATCATATTTGAGATGTTGAATGACATTGCCAATTCTTTCTGACAGTTTTCTCTTTCTCCCTTGGAAAAGGGCAAGGGATAAAGGTAGCGCCCTCCTAACCTGCGAAAAACTCTAATGCTTTCTGCTGTATTTCATAGCTTTTCCAAGCAACTGTGAGAGGAACCTGATGTAACAAGTTAAAACTACCAAGGGCTCCATTTACTTTTTATAAAACTTTTATTTTGCTAAAATGAGTGGCTTACCCTCACTGGCTGCCTGGTAAATCTTCTCATTTGCAATCCACATTTTTTTAAAGAAAGGAATAATTAAAATATTATGCATAAATACTTCCCTTATTGCTGCACTTTGACAGATTTCTTGCCACTGACTAAGGGAGCTATTTACATATATAGGACCTTCATCCTTTGCTTTCAAAGTACGAAACAAACCTTGGAACCTACTGAGAGAGAGACGTGTTCATTCTGCTTTACAAAGGAGAGAGATAAAGTAAAGATGCAAAAAAGTTAAGTGATCTACCCAACACACAAAAGATGCCCATAAGAGTCTCCTGTTTTGTTTTATGAACACCTTGTCATATGGATGAAAATAAATTGGGAAAAAAAAATGCAACAAAACCCAAAAACTACTCACCCAAACAGAATTGTAACACATCCAGAAACAAACATCCCTGCTACAAACATGAATTTTGCTCCAATTTGCGTAAGCTGTAAATTAAATATCATCTTTACAGGTTATTATTTCAAAGCTAAATCAAAAATCTTTCAAGTACATTACTGTTAAGAATTCACAATGTTACGGGAATTTCACAGAAAATGCAACTACCAGATCTGGAGAAACTGCTCCTGTCTGTGTGCCTTCATACAATACTGAACCTAAAAATATTCTAAATGGCTAAGTGACTTAACCCAGTTTTCAGATTGGTACAGTTAACTATTTCACAGCTGTTTGCTGCAGCTTCCGTACAGCAGCAGATTACGGCAGCATTCATTACTACAAACAATCATTTACACAAAGCAATACAATCCCCCTCCAGTTTGTCACTGATATCAAGTTAGCAGTGAAGTACCCACCACGTTTACAGCACAAGAGAGGCTGAGGAGACTCTCTCAGAAAAGAGTCAAGGGAAGCTGGCTCAAAAGCAATTTTACCATGAACTTGAATACCACAAAGCTTTGGAATAGGAAACATGGTTAACTCCAGCCTTTCCCATTCTCAAAATTAGCAGAAAAGAGATCTCATCTTCATTCATTTTAGACTCTATCACCTGGGTGATGGATGACGAAAGGCATGCCACAAGGCTAACTCAATCCAGTAACACAGTATATCTGAGCTTGTAATTCCGTGCTATAACCTTCCCCTAAGGAAAGCAGACATTTCGGACTGTTTGTCTTGTTCAGGCCTGGGCAAAGTCGTTGTGTCTCAGCCGTTATTAATGAAGCCAGTACTCCGCTGAGTTTCAGTGAAATTCTCATGATTTCTGACTGCAGGACCACGCACCTCTATTGATAAAAACTTGTTCACTTCAGCGTCTTTAGTGAAGGCAGCTCCCTCCCATCCACAAAGTACTTGGTGAGGTTTGTGCCATAGCTGAAAGTCATCCCAGGCACTTAGGCTGAACTAACCAATGGCACTTGTGTGACATCTTGATGAGCCACCTCATCCTCAGGAGGAAATCATTCACCATGGGTCAGGGGAGAGACTGTCCAGCCAAAGAAACAGAAGATGGTGAAACTGCAGGAGCCCCAACTTATATAGGGTATAAGGACCTTCACCAGCAAGTCTAGGCAAGGAATTACTAACAGCAGTGCTTCAGCATATAAACACATAAACTGTTACGTAATTCATTCGTAATTTCTCCGTCAAGAAAAAAAATGCTGAATCTGTGTGAGAACTTAAGTTGCAAGAAATGGAGACACTTACCTCATACTGAGGTAAATGAAGAGGAGAGGGAAAAGGAGTTAAGGAGCAGAGAGTCATAACAGGAAGAAATGTTATGAAAAGGCAACATACCAGAAAAGAAGAATGGATGCAGCAAACTAAAGAAGAAAAAACAAAGCCCTTATAAAATAGGCCAAGGCAAACAGAATAAATAAGTGCAATAAATAAAAAAAAAAAAAGGGAGGAGAGGTAGGTTAGGGGAAAAAGGAAGTAAAATAAAGAACTGATGAGCAGATTACTCTGAAGTAAACAAAATAATTAACCAGAATAACAAAACAGAGATGTGTCAGCCATCTTACGCTATCTTCAAGAATTGCAGCGAAGAGTAATTTTTAAATTGTACTGACAAGATTTAGCACCATTCAGACTGACTAGCCAGGATCCACTTAATGTGGAGCAAAACTTTCAAAGGCACCGCTGAAGAGACACCTCTCTTCTCCACCTTAGAGAACTATCTTCAGGTAATAACCTGTCATCATAGAAATAAGTTACAGCTTGAATTATACTTACATAATTTCCTAAGATTAAAGAAGTCAAGAAATTGAATAAAGCAAAACATCCAAAAATCATGCCAACAACTGTGTTACTGGCACCTTTTTTTTCTGCCTGTAGAAGAAGAAAAAAAAAGATAACAACTTAGTAAAAATGGAGGTAAACTCTTGAGGCAAATAACACTCAAGCCTTGCACTGATTTATTTTTTTAATTCTCCATCAGATCAGTTACAACGCTATTTTCTTTTTCAAAGGCAATAGAAAGTCATAAGGTAATAACATAATAATTTAAAGACATTTTGTCCCTCTATTTAAGTTATACTTAATGAAGGGAAAAGTAACATTCATTCTGCAATGAAATGGAAATTCTGTCATGTTTGCTGTACTGCTGAACAGGTGACCAGACTTCATATACAGATTCCTTGCGCACCAGCTTAAACGGAGCTAGCTACAGAGCTTTGATCCCTCACACGTTGGGAAGGCAACAAACAGAAAAGCTTATCTTCATTGTATCACATCTTCCCATAACAAACACCAGGCAAATCATTTACCCGTCCAACTGAGAGACCTTGCAGTGGCCAAGTACACTCCTACGGTATAGGCAATTCACTGGAATATTCAGAGCAGAAACGATCTTAAGATTTTTCTGTTAGAGCTTGAATAATTGGGAACAACTTGGCCTTGAAAGAAACGGACTTCTGCTGCAAAGGCATCATGACAATTTATGTTTCATCCCTATTTAAGCATTGCATTCACTCAACACAATGAGAGATTTTTTTTTCATCAGTTGCCAGTCCAGTAAGTTTAACACAGTAAAAGACAGCCAACACGAGCTAACGATAGGTAGTTAAAAAAAAAAAAAAAAGTCACTGAGTGGCTAAGGCACTGCAGTGCAAGTCAAGACATGGCTAGAGTTTTAATCTCAACTCTACCACCAAACTACTATGCAACACAGGACAAAATATGGTTTCACTTCTCCGAGCACATATTTTTCCTTCTCTCTCTCTCATCTATTTTGTCCATATAATCCAATGTAATCTGACATTTTCCTTACTAAGGACTGGATGTCAGCTTAGAAACCTGTTTCGTGGATTTTAGAGTGTGTGGAAGCTATGACTATACAGGTGACAGCAGGAAAAAGCTGCTGAACTGAAGCCTTATCAGAAACCCTGAACATATCTGAAGCCAAGCAAGCAGACATTGCCTAATTATTAGTCTCCTGGCTCCTCTGCAGCCACAGGGAAGATGGCATTAGCCTATAGACAGGATCCCGGTCACTACTACACACATTCTGAGGTATTTTAGCCAGCATCAGTCTCCTACTATGAATTCCCACAAATGAAAAGTGTAACTCATAGCTCACACAGAGCCACAAAAGTTCTATGATGCTCAAGATCTTCTAAAAAGTTTCCACATGCCAAAAAAATTTGAGTAGCTGGTTAAATTGTTGGTTTACCTCTGCAGGGAAAAAGGGACCCAGGATTGAATAGCATATCATTGAACTGAAGTTGAGAGAAGCTGTTGCAACCATTGTAAATAGCTGTTCTCTGGTAAATCTTCCCGATTCTTCACCAAGCGCTTCTGGTATGCCATCTTCTTAAAACAAAACAAAACAAGCTTATATTATAACCTGGTAAAAGGAGGTACAATTTATAAACCAGGTTTGAAAATAAACATTTATACAAGACTTCTACCTTCTTGGCCCTTGCAATTAAGTCGAAGTATACTACTTTTCTCCTAAGTTCAGGCATACAAATTTTGCCATAAAGATTCCATCTTCTCAACGCAGTACTAAAACACTGCATAAACGGAGAGTCATCTCCAGCCCTGGAACTTGTTTTAATACATCTCTGAAACCCTGCAGGCCACCCTCAGACTTCACTCACTGAAAGTGCAGGTGCTGTTGCAAGAGCTTAAGCTGCACTCCCAGCACATTAGCACACATAACCCCACTGAATCATAACCCATGGGGCACTGTCTCAGCACCTGAACCCTGCTATGTAACATGCCGGATTACGTAACAGAACAACGGAGAGAGCCTTGCTCCTCACTTTTTGCCCACGTGCCTTGTTTTACAGTGCAGACTACAATCCTTTCTCAAATAAAACACATTAAGACATAACGGGTCGGCATTCTGTGTCTTCTGCTCAAGCTGGACATAGCCCAAAGGGAACTTCCAGTTGATTTGCTTTCATACTCTGGGATTTCTTTTCCTGCGGGCCCTTCGCACAGCCACTGAGGCTTGATTCACCCCGCACCAGCGCGCTGTTAAACCCTGCGCGCTTTAGCTGCCCTCCCAAAACGCTTCCCTTCCTACCGGGAGCTTCCAGAGCCTCGGCAGCGAAGGAGGAATACCTGGTCCCCCCTCCGCCCCAGCACCGCGCCTCCCCCCGGCGCTGGCGGCGCCCGCTCCGCGCTGCT